CCACCATTTTAATAATTTAGTCTTGTGGTCAATTACATTCCTTAATACCAAAATTAATTGCTAGAGGAACAACTGGCGACTCTCATTTAAAGGTTAGTTATACAGTGCCTTCGTTGGACGTACAGTATTAGGCATATTGTCAACAATTTTGAAGCACCAGGCAATTATGCTTAGTACAATGGAGGAAATTCTATCTATCTATCTATCTATCTATCCATCCATCCATCCATCTATCATCTCCAATCTGTCTCTCCCTCTCCCTCTTTCATCATCATCATCATCATCTTATAATACCTTTTAATCATAATTCCGGAGGAGTTTATAAAAGGAATACAACTTTAAAAACTAAATAAAAAGCTAAAAGTCACAAAATAATACAGCCAGTCCCCCATATCCACAGATTCATTATCCACGGATTCAAGCATCCCTGGCTCAAAAATATTTTAAACAAATATAAATTCCAAAATGCAAACTTTTCTTTTGCTATTTTATACAAGGGATAACCATTTTACTATCTATTGTATTTAATGGGACTTGAACATCCATGGATTTTGGTATCCATGAGGGGTCCTGGAACCAAACTCCAGTGGATACCAAGGGCCCACTATAATTTTAAAAAAAATCCAAAAAATAAAATAAAACAATAACCAGGATAAAAAAACACAGATAAATTAGAAAGGTCTTTGCTAGTACTGAATGATAGGGCCAGTTGACTTTCTTGAGTACAGCACTCCATAGTTAGGTTCTGCCACTGAGATATCTCTCCTCCACCTGCTACACTCATTACTGGCGATCTATCAAACCTCAGGTAGTTGGGGACCTTATTACTGGCAGCCTATTTCTACAGGTGTCAACATGTATCTTTCTGATGACCATTTACTTAGGCTGTATTCCACCCTATGCCCATTCTGAAATCAGCCTCAATGACAGGTACTCTGATCCAGTTAGGCTCTTATGGTTTCATGTTCTTCCATTTTGTCTTGCACAGCAGGCCATAAGACAACCCATCTGCATAGAACAGTGGATGCTCCATATTCGGTGAGGTTATGGGGACAGGACCCCCATGAAAGTGGAAAAACAACAAATAAAAACCCTATATTTTTTACCTGAGAGAACTAGGGATTTCTAGGTCTTCCAGAGCAACTCTACGGTCAACATCTGCTAGAAGGTGACCACAGAATTGCACTGGAGGACCTACAAATGCCTAGAGAACTGTTCTCTGTGGGGACTCTCTAGATCCTCCAGATTGACTTTGACTATAGAGTTTGACTGGATGTTGACCATAGAGTTGCACAGAAGGACCTAGATATTCCTAGAAAGAACATATTAATCAAATCCATGAATAATCAAATCCACAAAAGTCAAAGCCGCAAATGTGGAGGAGGGAGGACTGTATTTAGCAAATGCAAATGTAGGAATTTTGGAGAAAGCATTTACTGTTCCATCATAACTTAGATTTCTAATACATAGGATCTCATAGCAATAGTCATCACTATTGTCATCATGATCATCATCATCATCATCATCTCCTTCTCTTCCTCTTCGAAGGCTAACCCCATCAGTTTCTTTATTAGCTTTTACCACATACTGATGAGAACAGCAGTCTAGTATATCAGTTTTCTCTTTCATCTAGAAGGCTCTCCCCCTGCTTCTCCCCAAATTTCAGTCATTTGTGAAGATATTTTCTTGTGACTCTTTTTGGGACAGAATAAAGTCAGGGATTGCCTCAAGGGAAGCAAAAGACATATGCTGATACTGTATACTGTGACTGTAAAGGGACTGGCTGTTTTTGGACAGCATTCTGTTGAGTAAGTGCTGGAATCATATTAAACAAAACAGACTACCAACAAGAGAAAAGTTTTTAAAAACAGCTATGTTCCTGAGCCAAATCACTGATCTTCTTTTTTTTTTAATCTTCCAACTCATTAATTTTCACCCCTTGCTCAAAAATAAAAATAGTCCATCTGAAAGAATGATTATTATTAACTCACACACATGCCCAAAGAAACTATTTCCAAAGTTTCTGAAAGTGACAACAGATGCCTGGGCTCTTGAAAGTAGAATTAAAAAGTGTGAGGACGTACAAAACAAAACTTCAAAATGAAAAGAGAGAGAGAGAGAGAGAAAGAAAGAAAGAAAGAGACAATTATGCATGCCAACAACTGCGGATAAATTAAGGACTAGTTTACAGATGCAAATGGAGAACTTATCTATTATATAATAAAATGTGTTGGCCAAATCTAACCCAGTCTTTACAAACCAATAGATAGTGATATAGCCCTTTAAAATTATTTCCAGATAACTATTTTCTCAACATATATGGTTATGTTAGAAAATTATGCTTAGAAAATCAGAGAGGAAAAAAAAATCATCTTGGCACATATGTGTTAAACAAAATCACCAGAGCTCTGTGACAGAGAAGGCTAAATATCTCACTAAACTACATACTCACTAAACTACATAATAAATTTGATTTATTTAAGAAGGGAATATTTCGAATATAGTAATAAAAA